AAAAGGTAGAAGTAGACATAATAATATGAAGTGGAAAAGCAAAGGAAATTTTTGGAAGCCTATATATCATATAGTATGTGGTTACTTTAATATTTTGTGGTGGAGGTTGCAAAATAAACAATAGTAATAGATTCTATAAATATGATAAAACATACGTGAGGGTGACTCTCTCTATTTTTCACAAAAATGGAGTGGACAACTATAAGTGGAAGCTGAAATTATCTTTTCCCTAAATATCAATGGAGGTTGATTTTCTTTGTCTCATCATTAGTGTAAATAGTGTTTCACCTTCTAGGAGCCTAATTCACAATCCCCCTTACCTTTGTGGTTGTGTTTCCGCACCCGAGTAAAGACTAATTAAATATCAGGCTTTATTTCTGCAATATTTGCATAAATCATTTTTTTTCACGCCCCGTAAGGCTCGTTAAAGGAGCAAGCTCTTTCTACGAGGATATTTTTCATTTTTAAGGCTCGAGAACCTAAAACTTCTGGTTATCCGTGAAGAAATTTTATTCATTTATCTTACTGCAACCCTCGATGGTCGCATAAATATTATCAAAACTGAACAAAGTGAATGATATAGATGATTATAGTTAAATCTACCAATTTGGATTTGAGGCATAATTAATTATTGATATTATTGAATTAATGGGAAAACTATGTATTATATTTGCTCCAATAAATAATAACTGGCAAAATAATTTTTTTATATAAATGTAATATATATATATATATATATATATATATATATATATATTATACATATTTTGTAGCCAATCAATGTATTTTTTTTGTATATTTGGTTAGAAAATATAATTATTTTTGTCAACCGGTTAAAAGTGTAGCTTGTCCTTAATGAATTGTATCATAGAAGTTACATCCGATCCAATCACACAAACAAGAAAATTCCTAACTTCCAACAAAGAAAACCAAATGGGAGTCGCCCCACTTATAAGTTTATCTTCTTAAATATAAATTTAGGCTGCAACCTAATGAATTGCTAGTCAATCCAAATGTTCTCAAATTTTATTGATGCTACTTTACAGCTTGTTTGGAGGGTTGTTACCTATTGTATCGTATCGTATTGTTAATTTAAATACGATATTTGTTTTGATTGTTATTTAAATTTTATTGTATCGTATCATTAAATTCGTCGCTACGTAACGATGAAAATGTGTCACTTTATGTAACAACCGATTTAGTGTGATCGCGTCGTTACCTTGTCTTTTTCTCTCAATCTCACCCTTCATTATAATTAAATAATTTTATTTTATTATTTATCCTATATTTTCATATAATAATTTTACCCCGTATTATAATTTTTGTTTATAATATTACAAGTTTATTCTTCATATTACTGGTGCGTGATATCATCAAGCAACGTCAAACGGTATAATCTATCCAAACATTATATTCATCAAATAATACAATATAATACAATACAATAAAATACGATACATTATGAAACTATATGTAACAACCCTCCAAACAAGTTGTTAGAATTTATTACAAATGTACACCTTTATATTTTGTAATTTACTGCTAAAATTTGTTCACTACTCTAAATACTTCACCTCTCTTTGCCTCTTGAAATAAAATACAATTAAATCTCTTTATAACAACCTCGTTTGTTCCAAAAAAATTTGATTGTTATAGCGGAGTGCTATTATATAGAATATATATTATAACATACCATGGAAATTAGTTCCAAAAGAAACTTAGTTTTTATAGTGAATGATTGTTATATACCGATAATGTTATAGAGGGGTCTGAGGGTAAGTACAACTAATACTAACCAAGATCAATTCTTGTAAAAAATGACAAGACCACTTAACACTCAAAATTCAATATGAATGAAATGTACGTAAAGAATCACAAGCATACACGCACACAGATACTAACAACAGACTTATAACCTCATAAACTCCAACAAAACACAACAGAAAAGAAGAAGAAAAAACCGGTTTTGTAGATCATGTTTGGAACCAGAGAAGTAGCAAAGGAAACAGCCGGTTCAGTAGAAGAATCTGCGGACCCGGCTTTCTTTTTCGGCTTAATAGGCGTAGGAGCAGGAGCTGGTGCAGGAGGTACAAAGAATTTCAATGGAAGAAGAACTTGATCCACTTGATATATAGCTAATTGGTTATCAGTATATATAGTATTTGACACACTTGCATTAACAATACCAGTTGTTATATTAACTGAACTTCCTGTTGTAGTAATATTTATTGGAAATTCGCGGTTGCTGGTTCCACCAGCTTGTGTTCTTAAAGGATTGCTTGCAGTTTGGAATTGAGTTAAAGAATAATATGTAGGAAGAATATGGAATTGGATAAGTTCAGCTTTTTGTTGATCAGTGAAAGAATTTAAAGTTCCTGCTTTCATACTCAAGAATGCATTGTCTGTGGGCACAAACATTGTGATTCCATTGTTGGAATTGTTGAGTTGTGAGGTGATTTCGTTGAGTTGCTGTGTGTTCTGTAGTAGACGGATAAACGTTGAACATTGGCCTGCTTTATCGAGGATCTTTGTCACGTTTAATGGAGGTGGTGGGCCTGGTGCTGGAGCCGGAGCCTGAGCCAAAATGCCCATGCATTGCAAGAACAAAAAGAACAAGAACAAGAACATGTTTTTCATTTTTCTTTTCTTTGGTTTTTTTTGTTGTTGTTGCAGTAAATGGTGTTTATATTTCTAGGTGTGGTGGAGGGAGGAGGGAAAATGTGGGAATTTATATATTTGAGAGGGTGGATTTCTTGATTTGAAAACAATGAAAGAAAGGATTTGTGGGGTATTGAGGTAGAAACAAATTGAGTGTAAAGTTAGGTGAAAGAGTGTAATTTAAGGTGGGAAGGAACATCATAGGTATTTGATAAACTCAGAGCAGCTGTTAGTTTGCTTATGATGGGAGGAAAAACAGCTGAGAATAGCAGAGATAAGTTTATTTTATGTCTACAGTAAGTTTGTGTTTTTGTGTGGATACTATTCAATTTTTTGTTTTGAGCTAGATGTTGAGAAAAATCTATATCACAAACTGCCTCTCTGCCTTCTTCAAACCAGGTGTAAGGTCTGTGTACACACTACCCTCCCCAGTTTTATTTGTGAGATTACACTGGGTTTATTATTGTTGTTGAAAACCGCCTCTCTACCTACATAAGGTAGGAGTAAGACTGCATAGTCACTATCCTTCGCAGACCTCACCTATGAGATTACACTGAGATTGTTGTTGTTGTTTGTTGTCAAAAATCTACGAGGGAAAATCCTTAGTCCATGTATGTAATGTAAATATATTTAGAGGAGGACAATCATAAATCATTATTTATGGTTATAATGGGACAGGGGGGCTAATTAAGATGTAATTTCAACAGTCACAATCGACAAAACTCTAGGTACAACTGATGAGATCAATGTAAGATAGCAACTTGTAATCCAGCAAACAACTTTATTGGTTATTAGGTATGTTTTTGCAATGTAAATTAGTGACAAACAGTATAAGCAAAATTTAGCAGTTGTAATTTTGGAAAGATTTCAGATGCCTCTTATGGTGTAATTAGCTACTATACTTTTTAAATGAGGATAAATTTTTTTTTTTGTCACGATCGAGAAATCCATCTGGGACCAATCCTTAGGATCAAGCGCAGCCTTAAACATGGGGATAAAGGACCCGCCCCTCTACCTTTCTCCACTTAAATACCACATAAATAAGGATAAATTTTTCTTGCCTCATTCCTGTCCAGAATCCCCAGTGAGATGATGTATTTAGAGTCTCAGAGTCCATTGGCTTGAAACTTTATTTCATTGAACATTTGACATAATGGTCATAAGCTTCTTAATCATAAACCTTATTTCATTTAACATATACATATCTATAGTCCAAGTTTGAGCCAATGGTCACATGTGTATGGACTGCTTATAATCAGGGTTAACCAAGTATGTTGGTTCACAATATTTTATACCTAAATGGAGCTGTTTCATTAACTCCACAAAACTTGGAGCACTGTTAAATGATTGAAATTGCCTTTAGGAAGAGAAGCTTTGGATGGATCAAATAAAAAGACTCCCAAGTTGCTGTTTAGTTCAAGCAATAGACCCTTGTGGAAACAGCCTCTTGCAGAAATGCAGGGTAAGGCTGCGTACAATTGGTCCTGCCCTTTCCCGGACTCCGCGCATAGCGGGAGCTTAGTATACCGGGATGCTATTTCCCAAGTTATTGTTTAGTTCATCAAGCAGGTAGACTCCTATTTCTTTGGAAAGCTCCTACTAAGATGAGAAATTCCCCCGTTAAAGCTACTAGTACAAGGTAAACTCATATTGGCCAAAGTGGAAGAGAAAAAATAGTAGAGAGATGCGGCATGGTGCTCACTGAACGTCCGTAATATCTAACAACCGAGTCTTATGTCGGTCATATAGAATACCAACACATAGAAAAAGGGCTGAAGAAACCAGTCCATGACTTGACATCGGTAGAATGCTACTCCAATTCCCTGTATGGTCGATAGAACACCAGGGCTGGTTGATACTTTTTCATTGATTTAAGTTATAATGTCATATTCACGAATGTGTAAATCATACTCGAGTTAGGTTATCAACTAAAATGAATTTAGAGAATTACCTTATAAGTGACCTGATTGTTTAAAGTTATATGTGGTCAGTGCATAGAACTTAACTCCTTTTCATAGCCTCAAGGAGGGAAACAGGTTTACAGAAATCTAACTTGGAAAACAAACATGCAGTTGAAGATTATAACATAAATTGGAAAGTATAGAAACAGAAAAAGAATAATCCCTTTTTATTACTCTTCTACATTTTAGTGAACGTTATAGTGCAAATGTTAGAGAAATAGAATAAACATAGTAAAGCAGTAGGCTTTCAGGCGTTAACAGTCAAGAAAACTAAGTCTCTTAATATACAAAGTCTTCAAAATCATATTTACCTTCTGATACGAGACAACCCCACTTCCTATTACAAACTATTTAACAGCGAGTAGGTAGAAAATCAGGTAATAAAACCAAATCAAATTTACACGGCGTATACCAAAATTACAATTAAATGAAATCACAACAATGCATGCATGCAATACAATTAAATGGCAGAAACCAAAATTACAATTAAATGAAATCACAGCAATGCAGGCATGCACAATAATATCAACTTCAACTTAATTATGAGCTCACATATACAAAAGAAAACACAGCCAAGAACAAGACAAATCCGCGGGGAGAGTTGATTGCACAAATTATGTCTGGAACCAGAGAGATTGCACCAGAAGATAGAGCAGAAGTAGAGTCAGAATCCGACGAATCAGCTTTCTTTTTCGGCTTAGGTGGTGCAGGAGCAGGTGCTGGTGCAGGAGGGACAAAGAATTGCAATGGGAGAAGAACTTTGTCCACTTGATAAATAGCTAACTGGCTATCTGTGTAAATTGTACTAGAAATACTTGCATTGACAATTCCAGTAGTTATATTCACTGAAGTGCCATTTGTTGTTATGTTGATTGGGAATTCGCGGTTACTGGTTCCACCGGCTTGTGTCTGTACAGGATTGCTAGCAGTTTGGAACTGAGAAATGGAGAAGTATTGTGGCAGAATGTGGAATTTGATCAGTTCTGCTTTCTGCTGATCATTAAACGAATTCAAAGTCCCGGCTTTCATACTCAAAAATGCATTATCTGGTGGCACAAAGATAGTGATACTGTTGGAATTGTTTAGTAATGAGGTTATTTGGCTGATTTCTTGAGTGGTTTGTAACAATCGAATAAACGTTGAACATTGGCCTGCTTTTTCTAGGATTTTTGTCACATTAGTCGGACCAGGTGGTCCGGGAGCAGGAGCCGAAGCTCGAGTTGGTGGAGTTGGAGCTGGAGTTGGACCTTGAGCCAAAATGCCAATGCATTGGAGAAACAAGAAGAGAAAGGTTGACACTAAGTTATGTTTCATTTTGTCTTTTTTGGTTAAGCTTAATTTGAAGTTGCTTTGGTGGTGGCAAAAGAAGATTATGCCACTTAAATAATGAGTGTGTAGACTCCTTGCTCTAAAACAATTAAGGAAACTAAAAAAGGGAAAATGATAGAAAAAAGTTAGTGGGGTATTGGGCAAAAGGGCAGCCCGGTGCACGAAGTATCTCGCGTTTATGCAGGGTTCGGAATAGGGCCGCACCCAAAGGGGTGTGATGTAGGCAGCATATCCTGATGCAAGCATCAGTGAGTGATTCCACGGCTCGAACCCATGACATGTATGTCATACAGAGACAAATTTACTGTTGCTCCAAGACTCCCCTTCAATAAAAAGGGTATTGGGATGAAATGAAAATGAGGGTGATGTTTGGTGAAGGGTTACATTTAAGGTGAAGAAGTGGATAATAATAAGTTTTTGATGATGTTATAGCAGCTGCTGGTTAGCTTATGATTGAAGGAAAACAGATGGGGAAAAGTGAGGTAAGTTTTTTGAAGTTGTGAATCCTATTCAGTTTCTCAATTGTGATTTCTGCTGGGGTACAATCCCCAACTAGAATCTTTTTAGTTGGAATATGTACTCAATGGCTAAAAAATTACAGGAGGATAATCATCAATTATAATTGATAGGAATGGTGGGACAAGAGGGCTAATTTAGTTGCAATTTGCAACTACATTGGTCACAATCCAGAAAATATTGGTACAGCTAATGATAATGTATAATGCAACATAGCAAGATTATATGTCAAATTGTTGGTTATTAGGTATGATTTTGCAATATCAATGCATGACAAGATAGTGCAACCAGAATTTAGTGGCTAAGAGTAGATTTTCAAAAGCTTGTCATTCCGACAGTGAGATATTACATCAAGGTCTCAATTCCAAACAAGTTAAGGTCAGTTACACGAATCTATGTTTTTCCATTTAAATTCATCTCAAGCTCTGACAATCAGACCTTCATTTTTCTGCATTAAAATTGCTGGACAAATACAGATTAAGTGATCTTATTACATAAATGAAGAACATTGATGATCATGCATTAGTCACAAAAGGTAAACGTACTCCAAAAATAGTTCAACCAGTGTATATCACTCAATTAAAACTACACCTTTATCTCAAATTAGCCAGTATAGAAATAAGAAAGTAACTAGATTCAGTATCAGAAGAACTGTTTCTAATGTAACTACATCATTATCTGCTCATAACATCCCGTTCGAGTAAGGAAGTTACAAATGGACCTGTTTATCGATCTGAACAGTTCTCCTTTAGATCTACTGCTACTCAATACATAAAAGAAAGGAAAAAGGTATCCCCAAAGCAAAACTTCTTGGAAATGAGTATAAGAGCCTACTGTAGTTTGTGCTGTGCACCCCTTGCAGCAATCATGTGAGGAGTTTCTTGCCAAAACCATTTAGGAAACATGAAAAACAAACACCATTGAGGTCAAAAATGGAATCCGCCAAATCCCCCACCTGGAAAACCATCAGCTGGAAATCCTCCTTCAAAAGTGGAAAGTAAACTGCTGCCCTCCTCCGCCGAAGGGGTTGAACCCCACACAAACCATTCCTGAACCAATGTCACAATGTCTTCTCTCCTATCATATTATGTACATTTTTCCTCATCGCCGAGAATCTGTTAAGAGAGACATAACAATGAAACAAATAGCAAAAAGTTCAAAGAGGTCATCCTTTTTGAAATCGGGATTATAGCAAAGTAACATTGGGCAAAATGCTAGAGAAGAAGCTAAGGGGGGAAAAAGTTGTAGAAAGACCATTTTACAGAACGTGATCTGTTAAAAGATTGGTGTACAAATTCAACCAGTAAATGTCACCATGCACTAACATAATATTTTCAAACAACTTTATCCAAAATGACTCACTTGTGTCATCAGTCTAACATTGTAAGGTAGCTACTTACAAATATTTTTCAGTATGTATGGAAGTGTACATATCCAGATTAAGGCTAAAGAAGATAAACCTGTATAGTATGGCTTACAGATATAGATAGATATTTGGATTCATCTACAGAAAAACAACAGACAAGCAACAGCAAACCGCTTGAGCAAAGACCATGCTAACTTGGTTTGAGCCAAAAGGAAGGACCTCACTTAGACTGGAGACAGTGATCATGAATTCTTGCTGACTCTTGGGTCACCGTTATCATAAAGCTTACGGAGAGGCATCAAGTCCATGTTTCTATTCTTGGATCCAGCCGGCGGTATCCTTGGTGAATAATTTCTTAAATGTATTACTGCAAATGACTCCTAGTTACTGCTTCTTTTCCATTACTGTATCTATTACTATATTTCTTTTTAATAATGTTGTGACTATGCTTTTACTGAGCCGAGGGTCTATCGGAAACAACTTCTCTACCTTCACAAGGTAGGGGTAAGGTATGCGGACACACTATCCTCCCCAGACCTCACTTGTGGGTCACACTGGGTTTGTTGTTATTGTATTACTGCAAATGGCTTTTGCCTTAGGGTACTAGAATGTTTCCAATCTAGTCATGATTCGAGATGTGTTGAAAACCTTAATTCTGACATTTGTTGCTTCACTCCGATTGCCACCTTTTGTCAATGAAATGGCTTTAGCTTGGAGAGATTCTAACTGGATCTTCCTCTTGTCATTTATCATCTCAACCAGTATGCATTTGTAGCATGAGACAGCAAGGAGAAAAGGGAACTTGAGGTGGTCGACTGCTGGTACTCACATGGACTCAACAATGAAATATCTGAGTGGAGTGAGCATGAAGGCCTCGACCATTGAGTAAATGACAGATCTTTATAAGAATGAAATTTCTATATTTGAAGGAGCAGGAGGAAGGAGATTGAAAAAAGTTCATTACCTTTAGCTACTTCTATTGAAATTATCAAAGAAAATATACACTGGTCTAATGGTTATTGGCCAATGTTGTTTTGTTTTGCTCTCCAAACCATAGGAAAATAGTGTGCTTCCTTCGATTAGGTATACTTTCATTATCTAAACACATACAATGACATTTGTGATGGTCAAATGAACTCCAAGCATTCGATTATCAGAAAGTTTTGCCTTTTATTTCTAGTTAGAACATTTCAAACTTCGTGAAACGAACTGATACAACAAGCATAAAACTCAAATTTCCAGGAAGTCATAGTACAACTACAACACAGAGTAGCACATGCCACAAAGAGCTCAAAGTGATTTACCAATATTGCTTGGCTTTTGCTTAATCTGACCTGTGGCAAACAATCCCTTTTCCAATACCCAATCTTCAATCATCACCTGAGAATTCACTGCCTGATCGGTAGGAACAAGATGCCCTGCGTTCATTACGACAACATGGCTCAAACTCTCCCACTTTTGCACATATCCAGCAAGCCCGTCATTCACTCTCCAAACCTTCCGCTCCGCCTCCAAAAACTTTTCAATTCCGTCCCACTTCATCGTCTTCATCCATGCCTCAGTCGACACCACTCCATCTCTCAAATCACACTGTCCCTGGTATAACAACACCTTAGTATGCTTAACCAAGTACTCCACCATGTACTTCACGCTTTTCATCACGTCCTCGTGCAATGCTTTGCCTACTGAATCACTGCATACTTCGAAAGCTATGGATTCATTTGCTTTTAGAGCCCTCTTGATATCTACATTGCTTAAAAATTTAGCCACCAATTCATCTTCATAAGGCTCTAGCCTCCTAAAATCATATAAAGTGGCAAGCCCCGTCATATTCGCCAACATCCCCAACACCCTCGATCTAGCACTCGTTGCCGCGCTCCAATTGCCATTTTTGGTAAGTCGAATTGCTTCCTTTTGAAGTGATTCCAGTTGTGTCTTTTGCTTCTCATTGATCAATCCGGAATAGTAAGCACTTAGAGCATGAGTGCCAACTTGAGTTTCAGGGTCAGTCAATCCATTCCCAATCGCAATCCCAGCTAAATTCAACCGTCTTGATTTAGGCAAACCCGCATTCTTTTTCACTGTATAGTACCCAAATGCTGGCACATACTTACCAGCATAACTTTCACCAGTTAAGTAAATCGGACGCGTCATAAACAAAGGATCTAATGCAATAAACTCCCTTGTAGCTTTAAAAAGGTGTTTAGCAACATCGTGTAAGTTTCTTGGTATCTCATCTGGACTTGAAGCAATACTAAATCCAGTTCCAATAGGATTATCAAGAAAAAGGAGCCCAAATATTCGATTCCAAGAACCAGAATTAGGTTCGAGCGAAAGGTGTTCGACGTTATGCCTGAAAGAAGATGAGACACGGTAAGGACCAAGTTCATAGAAGTTTCCAAGCATAGAAGAGCAACCAGGACCACCTTGGAGCCAAATAAGAATTGGGGTTTCAGAAAGATTGAGTTTTGTGCTGGATTTTTGAGCTTCATAGAAAGTGTAAAAAATGGCTGAACCAGTTGTTGAGTTAACTGTGAGGTAACCTGATTTTGTTGGCAGGGCTTCTTTGGGAAAGGAAGATTGCGCAGTTATTATTGCTGATGATAAGCAATAGAAGAGCATAAAAAGGTACAGTGATTTTGGTCTGGACTCCATTATTGATACAAGGAATTGACCTATGTCACTCACTGATCAAGTATATAGAGGTACTAAAGATAAGATATTGATTATTCTCTCATTATTGTTGTTGTAAAAATGAGTGCACGTGTCCAGAATTACGAGGCAATAGCAATAATTCTATAGGCAATATTCTACAGGCGAATATTCTGATTTCTGAGAATTCCGAATGTGGATGTGCTAAACAATATCCTTTCTTTCAGTTTCAGTTTCAGTTTCATTTATTATTTTTGTCTGTTTCTTTTGTACTTTTGTTGTTGGTATAGTAGCTCGGGATCCCCTTGTATTTGACATCATTTATTGTATTTACATGTGATTTATTTTTGTTTTGTACGAATAATTGATAAGTTTGCTCAAATGCTCTTAATTGCTATAAATATCTATGATATTTAGATTTTATCTGCTTAAAGACACTCTTCCTTAATTGTAAAATCAGCCTATCCTAGCATAGTTACATCTAGAGCCTAGAGGTGCAAAACGGCGCGTCGGGTAGGATATAGACAAGTCGAAAACGGGTAATACAAAAAATGAATAAATTACATGACCCGGCTCATATTTAATACAGATAAAAAATAGGTTAACCGACAGATAATATAGATCACTTTTGGAAAAATTCCTAGTCCCTCAAATTTGACAAAACCCAATTTCAGTCTTTGCAAATGTAATATTTAAATCTATTGGTTATTCATTTTTAAGCAGATGATATGGATCTTATCCATATTTAACCCATTTTTAAAAAGCTCATTTTTAGATAGATAATATGAATGGATAATTGTTTTTTCAATCCATTTTGCCATCACTAGTTACATCATTGCAATTGAACTAACATATGTTAATAAAGAAACCCTATATTTTACAATTATTTGGTACAAATACTAGTTGAGAGTTTAAATAGTGATTCAAACAAAAAGAGAGCATGAATCCCTTTTCATAGTTGAGTGTCAAGTTTCTTTCATAAACTCAGTATAATCAGAAAAGCATTTAAAAGTATCACTAAATGCAACTAAAAGAAAAGAAAAAAAAAACATAACCAACTGCATCAACTACCTGTACTTCAACTTGTCACTCTCAAATCTGAGTTACTTGGCTTAACAAACCTCATACTACCTTGTTTCAGGAGGTAGACGATGCGTACAATTGCTCATGTGAACTCAGTACAGAAACGAGAAATTATTTCGAATCTTTTGTCACATCAGAAGAACTATTTGATATTGTAGCTACATCAGTTATCTCCTCCACAACATCCATATTTTGAGTTAGGAAGTTACACATGGACCTGTTATCGATCCGATCAATTCTCCTTAAATCTACTGCTACAATACATAAATGAAAGAAAAAATGGTATCCGCAAAGCAAAAACTTCTTGGGAATGAGTATGAGAGCCTACTGTACTTTTGAACTGTGCATCCCTTGCAGAAACAATGTGAGGAGTTTCTTGGCAAAGAACACTGTCGAGGTCAAAAATGGAATCCGCCAAATCCCCCACCTGGAAATCCTCCTTCAAAGTGGAATGTATACTGCTGCCCTCCTCCGCCGAAAGGGTTGAATCCCCCACCACCCATTCCTGAACCCATGTCGTCAATGTCTTCCCCTTGGTCATATCGTGTACGTTTTTCCTCGTCACCTAGAACCTGTTAAGAGAGGCATGACATTCAGACAAATAGCAGAACCCCCATAGCGTGACATGCTAATAGAGGAAAAATTAAGGGGAAAAAAAATCAAAGAAAAGCCATTTTATACTAAGAGATCTGTTAATAGATAGGCATAATTTCAAACTACTTTATCTGAAATGACTCACTTGTGTCGTCAATCTAACACTGCAATGTGGCTACTAACACATAAGACTGAAACAGATCAAATGAAAACTGATGGAAAAGAAAAGAAAAACAAACCTCATATGCAGCTGCTATTTCACGAAATTTGTTTTCTGCTTCTTCTCTGTTTTCAACGTTCTTGTCTGGATGCCATTGCAGAGCAAGCTTTTTGTATGCCTTTTTGATCTCTGAAACAGATGCTGTCTTTGAGACTCCCAAGATCTTGTACCAATCCTTCCGTTGGCTCAATTTCAAAGATCTCTCAGCCCTCATCAGCGCTTCACGAATATTCCTATCCTATAGAAGTATACTTCAGATTATTTGATATTCAGATTAAGGCTAAAAAGATAAACTTCTATAGAGAGGACCACAGATATAGATGTAGATATATGGATTCATATGTAGGAAAACATCGGACAAGAGAACTGGTTTTGAGTAAAAAGGAAAGATCTTATTTTGACTTGGAGACAGTGAATCATGAATTTTTTTGCTTTTCAATATGCTGACTTTTGGTTCACGGTTATCACAAAGCTTGCCAAGTCTAAGCCTTGTTGCGATCAAAACTCAATACCCCCCCCCCCCCCCCTCTTCAAAATAAAAAACGCAAATCATATCATATATCCACCATATGTGTTGGCCAGATTGAGTTATCATGCCAATGTCTTCTCTCATCCTAGATGCAGTATTACCATGTCAAGAAACAACACGCTGAGAAGAAAAGGTTGTAGTTAAAAAAAGCAAATAGTTGCCAACAAACCTGAGGAGATTTTTCGGCTGCTTCTTTCAAATCTGCAACAGCTCCCTCCCAATCTTCTGTTAGAAGCTTGGCTTCACCCCTCTGTAAAAATATGTCCAACTCCAAGATTCAGGATTTATGGTGTAAACTTGATATTTCTAAGCAAACAACTTGATCTAGTAAAATTGGGCTAAGTTGCTCCGACTCGGGTGCGGGTATCCGATATGGGTGCCGATATAGAGGTCGGATTCTTCATGATCTAAATTTTAAGATTCGGGGATACATCCAGGTATGGATACAGGTGCAGGGATTCGACTAAAAATAATTCAAATATCTAAAAAAAAGTTATAAAAATATGTCTAAATTATGAGTCAATACGCAGAAAACTTACAAAGTATTCCGAGAAGGAGAAATATTGATCAAGAGGAGAATCCGAGAAAGAGAAAACGAAAATGACTAACATAGAATTTTCTATATACAAGATATTCCATTTTCTTCAATTTTATCCTAGCTTTAGTTTTGATTTCAGAAATTACCGTATCTGCTCCGAATTTCACCGTCGATGTGCGGCATCGAAAGTGAAGACTCCGAGCAACTTAGCAAGTAGGACATCCTAATGCCCATTGACTATATTTATTTACAGGTTGAAACAAAGCATAAGCAGATGAAGATAGAACCTGCACTAGAGCATCAATAAGCTCTCCATCAAGCTCAAGAGCTTCTGAGCAACTCGATATGGCATCCTTCCCTCTTCCAAGCTTCACCAAGACTTTACACAAACCAAGATGAAGATTTACATTATGTGCAGAATGGTTGGGGTCCATTGTCAGTGCTGCTTTATACTCCTCCACAGCAAGGCGAAGCTTACCCTTACTTGCATTATCTTCGGCCTGCGCGAAAGGTCAAGGTTGGAGAAGCTCATATTGTATCATATCTTAAAGATATAGCAACAGAAAAAAAGTCTGCATTTATGGGAAGATTGTCAGGAAAGATAGTGAGGCTTACACTTTTAGTCTTTTTCAGTAAGTTTTTCAAGCCAAAATATGCTTTCTTCAATTCCCCATGCTCTGGGTCTGAACGAAGACCTTTTTGGTAGTGCCTGAAGAAGGGCGTAAAAAGCTTCTTTAAAAAATCTTCATAACATGACATTTGGCTTTTTTAACATTGGCCCTTCATTTTCTTTTGGGTTCTCTCATTTCAGCATTAATGCTGAATGATTTTATCTTGGATTGGTGTAGCGGGAGGTAGGGAAATAGTGACAAGGTCGATAGTTACCTTAAGGCGACATCATGATCAGCCAGATAGTAGTAGGCACGGCCTCGTAGCAGTAAAGCCTCCAGATTATCCTCATCTTCTTTAAGTATGTATCCCGTTTCAGATATGACACTGGAATAATCTTTATCTGAGAGCAATAGTTTCGCCTTAAGGAGTTTGGCCTAGAAATTCACATTAAGAAACCATCATGCTCGGTGTAACACCAAGTGGCTTTTCCACAGGAAGTTAGGACAATAATACAATATGACTTCATCTGTAACAATGACAAAAGCCTCAAATTGTTAGAAATGAATACCTTGGAGCATGCTGGAGAGAAAACAAGTACGACTTTATCAATATACTCCAATGCTTTTTTAATGTCACCTGTGTCCAACAGGTTGGTAGCTGAATCAAAAGCACTCTTAGATTGGTGCAACTGAGAAAGCTCCTTTTCCGCAGCTGAGTCTCCTGGTTTCATCTCCAGAAACTTTTTGTAGCTTCTTTCTGATTCATCATATCTACATAAGCCAAAGATCGCCTAAATCATATGATTATTTGATGAAAGGTAAAAGCCTTAATCATATAATTTTCAGATAAGATGCTACCTATAGATATAAGATCTTAAATGCTTGAACACTAACTACTGGGGAACAAGGTTTGCGGGATCACAGATACATTTACTGCACCATTCCAAAGTAAATAGCCCACAATTTGAGGCAATAGGCTACTTGAGCAAGATGGCAACAAAATTAGGAGGTACATGAGTTGATCTAGAAAACAACAATTTTGATGATATGCTAGTGTATTCAAGCCCTGGACATGATGCAAATGGTTGTTACCATATTTACACACCTAAATATCTCAAACCTATGTCAGAATAACGAATTCAAAAAAAAGGGCAGCCCGGTGCATGAAGCATCCTACGTTCACGCAAAGTCCAGAGGGCCGCACCCCAGTGGGGTCAGAATATAGAAATTCTAAATGGTCGCAGTTATAGCAATTCCTAGGAGGAGGGGGGTGTTAGGTAGATGCAAGGAGGTTCAGTTGAATTAGCTTTACAGGAAAATTACAAGTACAACTACGGCAAAAGTAAACTTCTTGCATATATATATATATATGTTTTGACTCCCCATGACATACGAGAATATTCCAGTCCAGTGGCAAAGGTGGTTCAAAAATGTTTTGGGCAATAGGTTTAAATCCCAGGAGTAGCATTCTTGCAATTTTTTGAATACTCTTGTTATAATTCTTGGTTACGCCACTGCCTAGGAGTCTAATCATTGAAGGCGTACCCCACTAGCCATTGTAATTCTTTGCTTTCTAGGAGTTGCAAGCACCATCAACAACAACATGCAGCACACACCATTAAATGGTAGATAA